TATTCTGTGTTCTTTGGAGTATTATGTAATTAAATGAAAAATTATTTATTGCAGTAGTACCATTAGTATATAATAAAAAAAAAAAGTAGGGTTAAATGTCATTGACAGTCGACAGCAAAAAAAGAAAGGCCCAGTTAAGTACTTTATTTCTTGTTTTTCATATGTATTCTTTATTATTATAAAAGTAACTAAAATATAAAAATTGCAAACTTTTTAGATTAGGTAAGGTAAAATAAAGAAGAAGATTTTTTTCATGAGGTATGCTTGCAAGTAGTCTGTGCATTATGTAATTTGATACTGTAATATGAGCTGCATGTTTGCCATGTGATTTACAACTTATATAGTGTAAATATTAGTTACACACGATCCAAAGGGCAATAAAAGAATATAATTTAAGCATGCATAGATGCATCGGCCTGGCATGGCCAGGTAGTTTGGACACTCAACTCGCAATCTGCGGGTCATGGGTTTGAATTCCCACCTCACCAAACATGCTTGCCTTTCAGCCATGGGGATGTTATAATGTGACAGTCAGTCACACTATTCATTGATAAAGAGTAGCCCAAGAGTTGGTGATAGGTGGTGATGACTAACTGCCTTTCTTCTAGTCTTTCACTGCTAAATTAGGGATGGCTAGTACAGATAGTCCTCATGTAGCTTTACATACTGTTATGAGTTTAAAGCTATTTAGAATAAACAGATGTAGTTTTATGTTACAATTTGAAGTCATTCTAGAAAGAAAAAAGGGTAATTTAGATTTATTTAAATTTTTTTTTCTGGTCATTATGAAGTCGGTCAAATTGACCAGCCTTGTATAGAATTAGGGTAGAGAAATAATCAGATAAAATATAAGTTTCACTGAAAAAAAGTATGAAGGTAAGGAGGTTTCATAGATTGCACAAATGAAATTTGAAATTTTTGAGATGAAGAAAAGTATTTTTATTCTTAACGTTAAAATCAATTTGCACTTAACTAGTAAAAAATGACTTGATATATTCACAGACAAATCATTTGTAAAAATACTTCATTAAAAAATCTGATTTTATTTTTTTGTGTGTACAAAAGACTTATAATGTTTATTGAAAGTCTGCCAAATTTTGTCAAGATACACATACTGTATTAAAAGTTATAGTATGGAAACCATCAAGTACAAAATGAGTATGAAGTCGGTCAATTTCACTGACCCTGTGGGGAGAGAGTTAATCCCTGAGATGGTTTGAAATTTATAACTTCTTTGATAAAAAAAAAAAAATCAAGCATAATGCTTCGTAATTTATAATTTTCTGTTTTGTGTACATGTTTATATTAAAATATATTACTATATTTTATTATTAAGATAGTAAGCACCAATCAGTTTTTGTTTTTGGATACTTCTGTTTAAATCTGAAATTTAGTTAGATGTTAGTGTTGAATAAGCATTATTCATTAGTAGCACAGTTTTCCATGTATTTAGGTTTATAGACAAAATAGTTTGTACAATATTTTCAAGAACTTGACAGATCCTTCATGTTTAATGATTTATTTTTACTATGCATTAAGAGAGTTAACATATTTTGTTTAGGGAATCTAAACAGTACTATCCAGAGCTGAAAGAATCACCATACATTAGGTTTGCTTATTCTGATAATGTTCCAGAGATTGTTCCATCTGCTTGGAAGAAGTTAAGCTTGTTTGAATCAGTATCTTCTGAAAGTATGTAATGGAACCATTTGATATATAGCAATTGATAACAATTTGTACAGAATTACTTAGTACTTTTTTTTTCTAGTTTTATTATATAAATATATGTAGTTAATGGTATTGGTTATATGAAGCGTATTTGGTGTAAACTATCACTACCTATAACCTAGACAACATATGTCAAAGAGTTTGTTATTAATTTTCATATTCTGCAGCTCATTACTAAAACTTTATTTTTTCTTTGTAATTTGGGTTGAACATGTTAACAAAGGTGACAAATAACGGGTTAGGTAAAGAGGAATTCCGCAATGTAGAGTGTATTAAATAATGTATGTGTTTTGATGTAAATATATATTCTTTTGTTGGATACACATGTGTGTTGTTTTTGTGACATTAGTGTTTTAAAAATGTATTGTTAATTTATTTAGAATCAGAATATATATATGTACAGCAGCGAGGTATTTTAACATTTTAGGTAGAGCTCTTTTGTGTTTAAGAACTGTAGTTTAGAAAGATTCTTTCCATCTGGTTTGAGCATTTGGATATTGCAGGTTTAGATTCTGTTCACCCTTGTTTTGTACTTCACACAATGAGTAGAGTTTCTTATCATATTGTACTTCCTTCTATAGATTCCTCCTCTTCAACATTTTTTGTTGGTGGTCCTGTTTGGGCTTGTGATTGGTGTACAGTTCCTTTGGGTGTAACTACCAAACAATATATTGCATTATCAGTTTCCCTAAAAGCAGATGGAACTCATTCACTGGTGGACACTTCTGCAGAACAAGGAATAATTCAGATTTGGGATGCAGGCATATTGGATTCAAACAAGTAAGACCATACAGTATATATTATCTTGTAAATTGTGAAGACATCTTATTGCATTATCTACTTTTCATTCACTTTAACCTTATAACCCCTGGTCACATGTCACAAAGTGTTACTGAGTTATAATCAAAATTTAATTAGACCACTCTAATATCAATGTATTTTAATGAAATTAGCATTTTCAAATACGTTGTGATTCAAAGTCTTATGTTATTTAAGTTTTTATTCCTTTATTTCAAAAGAAACTGCTGAAAGAATAATTAAAAAAATTCACGTTTGCTCTCACTAGAATTGCAAGTGGCTATAGCAACTGAACTTTAGACTTTGTTATAGGAGAAATGACTATTGTTAAAAACATCTTTCTTGCTGTCAGTAAACTACATGTACATACAGTTCATTTACCAGTAACTTGATATAAATTCCTAGAACTGGCCTTGAAAGGAAATCGTTATAGACATTCCTGAGTTCAAGCTATGCCATGCCCACTTGCAAAGTAGAAGCTGTGTTGCTTAGTGAATATTTTAAGTTATAGACATTCCTGAGTTCAAGCTATGCCATGCCCACTTGCAAAGTAGAAGCTGTGCTGCTTAGTGAATATTTTAAGGTATAGACATTCCTGAGTTCAAGCTATGCCATGCCCACTTGCAAAGTAGAAGCTGTGCTGCTTAGTGAATATTTTAAGTTATAGACATTCCTGAGTTCAAGCGATGCCATGCCCACTTGCAAAGTAGAAGCTGTGTTGCTTAGTGAATATTTTAAGTTTAATGGCATGATGATAACCAATAGAAAGAGTAGATTTCACCCTTCAAGGTCTTTTATCTTTACACGACACATCGCATAGATTTACTTTCTGTGCCATTATAATGAGGCTAAGTTCACCGTTGAGAGCAATGTTTGTGGCTCTTGGTAATTTTCTCTTGCCTTGTATGTATTAGCCTGATAGACAGTTAGGTTGTATTTAGGTTTTACTTTTATATTTTAGTTAATTATGTATATTAGGATTTATATTTAAAAGGTCTAATTAGTTTTAATTATTGTATACTTTGAATCACTAAATCGGCTTTAAGACAACACTTACGGGTGCAAAAACTTTATGCTGGAGGGGCTAAACCTAACAGCCAAAGTTAACAAACATAACATTGCATATGGGCACTTGTTGATGTATGTTGACAAATAATCAAAGACAAAGAACAGGAGAGGAAAATAAATTATAAGTGAAAAGGTAAAGACGTGAAATTACTTATGTCATTAAAAGAATCGATGAAGATTTAAAAGATATGTACATATTTCTATTTCTTAATTTTAAACATTTCATTGCACTGTATGTTAATGATAGTAGATAGAGTTAGTGATGTAGAGAAAATGGCAAATAGATTATAAACATTTCTAAAGATTATGCAAGTGAAATATGAAAACTGTACGGTAAACATTAGTATTTTTATATCTAACATGAAAATCATTTTGCTGGTAAACTATTCAGAATCCGAGTGCAAATAACTACATTAACTAACGAATTTTTATTAGAAAAAGTAAAAAAATCAAAATTGAATATTTTATTTTTTCTGAAACTACATAATTTCAAATAGTTTCATCCACTAGTTTTATTTTTGGAACAAAATACGAAGAGAGCGATATTACCTACTAATAAAATTTGTAGCTGGTAGTCATAAGGTTAATGTGTTACAAGATAAATAAAAAATTGGGAATTTAAAAAACCTTAAATAGGGATAGTAAAAAAAGTAAGGAAACAAGGCTGGAGTTACTATAGACATTAATTACTCAAACTACAAACCCCCATTTTGGTTTTATGGTGTTACCTAGAATACCATTTCGTGGAGTACTTGTCTTGAAGGTGAATGGTTTTCCTAAATTGGAGATTTAAAATTATGGTAATCTAGGACTCTAGGTAAGAAAATCAATTTTTATGAACACAAATGAAGAAATGGCAGCATACAGCCTATTAATTGGAAAGGATTAAACAACGTACTTTGTTATGTTAAATTATTATGTTTATATCAAGCATTTACCAAGTTCTTAGGTTATTCTACTGCAGTAATTGTTATCTGTTCAGTTATTTTTGTTTTAACAATATTATACTACATTAAAGCATTCCCAGTTTCCTCTTTTTCCATCTTTCGAAAGCACTTGGGTTATAGGTTTTTTTTATTAATTTCTATCAAGACTTCTTAAACCTACGTGTTTTTCTAACATTATGAATAGTACGTTAAATACAACTCAATGTTTATCTTCTTTCAGATCTGAAAGACCTCCTCAGCTTAGTCTGACTATAGCTCATAACTTTGGTGCTGTGTGGAAACTTTTATGGTGTCCCTCTGGATGTTGGGAACCAGAGTCTGGAAACCAATGTACCAAAGAAGATGAGGAAAGCAAAGAGACTCTGCCTCGTTTGGGTTTGATGGCTGTAGCATGTGGTGATGGTTACATTCGAATATTAAGGTAAGTAGAATTATTGCTTATGCTAAAACAGAAATTTTATGGTAATATCTGCATGAGGTTTGTTTCTGTAAGTAAACGAGTACTTTCTTTTATGTATTGTTTAAATTAGTTGTAAGCTTTATTGTGAGATTGCTGGTTTTTTTTATAGTTGGAATATTAAATGTAGAAAATAATGAAAATTTTAGTTATTTCATAAATCTCTGAATCACTTTAAACTTTTTTTTTTGCCATTATAGTATTCCTCATCCAACATCCCTTGTCACAGATCAAAAAGATCTGCAAGCTGTTTACAGAGTAAAACCAGTAGCAGTGCTTTCACCACCAGGGGAAGGGCCTTGTATTGCAAGTAAGAAAAGCATTTGTTGTGCACTCAGCTGGAATAAAACTGAGGGTCATCAACTAGTAGCAGGAGGGTATGCTTCAGGTAAGTATTTGTATACAAAGTCTTTTTTTATCCAGTCGATTTTTTAACAATTCACCGGATAATAGAAGCTGGTTATGCTTGATGTAATGTTTTGTTGTTGTTACTATCTGGTTGAATTGTTATTGTGTAATAGTTGTAGCAAGGTATGCTTCAGTTAAACGTTCTTAACAAATTATTACCTAGTAGCAGTACTGTATATTTCAAGTGTAATTGTTTTGCTGAAGTTTTCTTATCTGACCAAATTGTTAACAAACATTTAACTGTTAGCAGTAATATACTGTAGGACCTTGAAATTAAGGGCATCCTTCCAACTGCTTCCAAATGCCCTCTATAGGAAAGTGCCCTTAATATCAAAAAATGAGCCGTGCAAAGCTGGATTCTATATTGATTGTACTAAATTTCTGAATTTTAAGCCCCCCCCCCCATTTGTTTGGTGTATGCAGGACACAGACGTTCATGAGTTGCACATTGCCATGACATGGAGTGTTGTCAACATGAAGTCTCAGGGGGTGGATTAGCTGTGCTCTTTTTTCTTTATTATTGGTCACAAAGTATCAAAGTACTTCTTTTCAGAGTTTGAACTGCTAAACATTTCACATTTATTTTCTGTGTTTATTTTACTGTCAACATCTAAAGTAGAAATCTGCTGAAAATAAAGCAACAAATCACTGCTTGTGTCATTAGACTGTTTATGTGACAGAGTAATACAATACTCTCGAGAGCAACAAAACACGTACACAGAAATAAGCCAATTTGACCCCTGCTCCGAGAATACGATATGGGATTTATCAGCATATGTATCCTACAGTGTTTTCAACAAGAATTCCCCAGAGTAATAAGATTGCACTTTGAATCTGTGAAAACATTTACTACAGATATGGTTCGGAGCTAATCCAATAAATATCGCGAGTGTTTGAATATTGGTCATCCTTCTGGGATGTTTGTAATTTAGCAGTATACTCTACAGGCGTACAAACATAACTGCCCACTTTATTGATGCCCATATGCCCTTAATCTGGAATATAGAGGTGCCTGTTATTGCAAGATTTATTTTGATTACAAATAGTAGAAAAAGGAAAGAGACAGAAAAGGTCTGCCCTTAATGGCTCAGTGCCTGTTAATCGAGGTTCTACTGTATATTTATGTTAGATAATCAAAGTTCAATTTTTTCAAAGCATTTTCATTTTATTAATGTTTTGATAAAAATCCAGTTATTATTTTATGAGCATTGTTTTATCCAATTATACAGAAGGTTGATCAGACTTTATATTAAAGAATAATTTACATATGCTGTGTCATCACATAATTAGGCCATGGCATCTGTGGGTGCTGCCTTTAGCACCTGTGAATTTGATTCATAACAAACTTGGGAATATTTTAAAGTGTAATTCAGTGCGGCTATATTTATAGTTATAAAAATATTTCACAGCCTTTTTCAGGTAAGGTTATTCATTCAGCAAAATAACAAGAGATAAAAAAGCCTGAGGCACATTAAATTTAAATACAACTGTCAATAAGAGAGTAAATAGCATTGGCAAAGAAGTATCATTGTACTATATGAAGATGTACAACCATTTAAACTGCATCCCACTGTCACTTCCATAACCAAAGTCTACATGCTGGTCATTCAGGGAACCCCACCACACCCAATTGGTTACTAACAAGTTTCCAATAACCTCAGTCAACTATGCACAAGATAATTCACTGAGATCTTGCCATTGTTTAAAATATATATGTACATACGTGTCTCGGTAATGGTAAGGGAAAGATAAACTGTAGATAACTGTAAAAAATACTTTGTTCATGAGAGACGAAAGTTTATTGCAACACAGATTAAGCCTGTGTGTACTTGAATGATTACAACAAGATACAACTAGTTTGCTAATGACCAACAATCTGACAAGGACTTTCCAACAAAGAACGTGAATGAAGAGTTGGTTGAGGCTTTATGGCTGCTCCAAGTTTGTAATATAATTGTACAAGTTGAAGTTTTTACGCTATATAGCCAGAATGGTATGGCTACATCAGGTTCAGGGAAAAGGTCCAAGTTCTTTAAAGTGATTTTTTTTAAACAAGTATACTACACAAATTATATATATTTAGATAATTAATAGTGATACATTTAGATCTATATGATTGCTATTATTAATATTTTTTATTTTCATTATTATCCTTTTTTCAATTCTGTTATTCTTAGGGTTATTGTCAATTTGGGACTTGATGTCTTCTTCTCCCCTGTTGGTAATTGAGTCCAACAATCACTTTGTGAAGCTTTATCCATATCTTTCATTTTATGCTCATGCTTGCTGTGTAACATCTCTCGTGTGGGGTCCAGTGCCTGGTGGACGATTTTTGGCCACGTGTAGCAGTGACCGCTCTGTTAAATTCTGGGACCTAGAAGATCCATGTGTGTATTAAGTTTTTTTCTAGCTTTTATATGTATAAAATATCAGAAGTTGAAACACAGATTATTTTAAAATTTGTTCAGTTCCATTTAACATGCTTAATGTAAACTTCATCATTTGATAAACATTATTCATAGCCCGGCATGGCCAGGGTGGTTAGGACGCTCGACTCACAATCTGGCGGGTCGGCGGGGTTTCGCACTCCCCCATCCCCACCCAAAACTATGCTCCT